TTGCAGCAGTGGAAGCAGAACAACTGGCAGCACAGAGGTAAACCCATCTGGGCCGCCGCATTGTGGCAAGATATTGCTGCCCGGGTAGAGAACCTAATTGTAAGAATATGTCACGTAGATGCTCACATACCCAAGAGTTGGGCCACTGAAGAACATCAAAACAACCAGCAGGTGGACCAGGCTGCTAAGACTGAAGTGGCTTAGGTGGATCTGGACTGGCAACATAAGGGTGAATTATTTATAGCCCGGTGGGCCCACAACACCTCAGGCTATCAAGGAAGAGATGCAACATATAGATGGCCTCGTGACTGAGGGCCGGACTTGACCGTGGACGGTATTGCACAGGTTATCCATCAATGTGAAACATGCGCTGCCATCAAGCAAGCCAAACGAGTAAAACCTCTCTGGTACGGAGGCTGATGGTTGAAATGTAAATATGGGGAGGCCTGGCAGATTGATTATATCACACTCCCATAAACCCGCCAAGGCAAGCGCGATGTGCTCAGCATTGTGGAAGCAACCATCGGATGGCTGGAAACACATCCTGTGCCACCGCCCGGAACACCATCCTGGGCCTTGAAAAGCAAGTCCTATGGCGACATGGCACCCCAGAAAGAATTGAGTCAGACAACGGGACTCATTTCCGAAACACCCTCATAGACACCTGGGCCAATGAGCATGGCATTGAGTGGGTATATCACATCCCCTATCATGCACCAGCCTCCGGAAAAATCGAACAATACAATGGACTGCTAAAGACTACACTGAGAGTAAGGGGTGGTGGGACATTCAAGCAGTGTGATACACATTTAGCAAAAGCCGTGCACGTCAGCAAAGCAAAACAAGGAATTCATTCACTACTTCCCACCGGCAGGCAGATGTTCAGCCATCTCCAGGAAAGCAGAGCTCCATCATGCATAACCGTTACTTGGGAAGACAAACGCCATCACTCCAAACGTCTCCCCTTCCTTCTTCCCCCAGCTTTATATACTGAGCATGATGCCATATGGTTTGAATACCCCGTTGGCCAGTTTGGGTTAACTGTCCTGGCTATGCTCCCTCCCAGCTTCTTGTGCACCTGGCAGAGCACAGGAAGCTGAAAAGTCCTTGACAACTGTAAACACTACTTAGGAACAACTTACTAAAACATTAGTATGTTATCAACATTATTCTCATACGAAATCCCAAACGCAGCACTATACCAACTACTAGGAAGAAAATTAACTCTATCCCAGCTGAAACCAGGACAAGAGCAAACTGGGAAGTGGCTGGTGAGTGCCTCTTGTTGGGCTTTTGAGCACCAGGAGGAGCAGCAGTGCACAGGGCAGTGGACTTTTGAGCCCATGTCATGCTTGTTGGCACTTGAGCTGGGTGACTTGGAGAACTCCAGCTTGTGGAAGGGGAAGTACTCCTGTCCCCAGGGACCAGCTCTGTTATCTAATAGATGTCCTCAGCTCTCTGAATAGCACAGTAATTGTGACAGTTTTTCTTTACCTTTTAATTTTTTTTTTTTATTAATTTATTTTATTTTTCCTCCCCTTCAAAGGGCCAGGGCACAGGGCCTGGTGAATTCTCTCTCTCTCATCATGGTGGATGCATCGCTAGGAATGATACAGTGCTTAGAAGAAATAGTGAGTACTTGCTTTGCCTGGGTTTGGATTGTATTTGTGATCTTAGATGTCTATTATATTAAAATGGTAGTCATTGCAGTTAATGTCTTTGTTAGTTTGAAGCCCATCTTCCTCTGCTTCTCCATACTTGTTTTATTGCATTTCTTTTCCAGATCTCGGAGTTTGTGCAGAAAGATGAAATAAAGCCTGCTGTGATCCAGCTGCTTTGGGAGCGATTCACAGAAAAATCTCAGTGCTCGTCACTAGAACGACGTGCTGCCGTGATGCTGCTGGGGATGATGGCACGGTGAGCCCAGGGCCCAGTCTAGTCCTGGGAGTGGGAGGATGTACAGGGAGTTGATTTTTATCGAAGCAGCTTCAAAATTACTAACCAGGTCATGGGGTAACAAAGCCTGGAATTAAACATAGTTCTGCTGGGTCCCACCAGCATGGTCTCTCAGAGTATGACCACATTACTTTCTTTGTGTTCTGAATGTCCATCCCTTCTCAGGGTTTACCATGTCACAGCTCTGCAGCTTTGTCTGTGTTTGGATAAGAACAGTGAGAAGCTGCTGAGTAGAGATATCTGGAGCCTTTACCATGGAGGGAAATGAATCTGCTTCCCGTTCTGGGGGCAAAAAGAGCATAATTACACTATAAAGTTTTCATTTCCTCAGTTTCCCAGCCCAGTAACCCTTTGGCATTTAGCTTACGTGCTGATTTCTTCTTGCTCTTCCTACTTCAGTCCTTCATCAGTCAAAAATAGGTCTGCACAATGATGATCTTAAAGTTCTTGGCTCTAGAGTTGGAGCCATTTCTGGAGCTTACAGCCAGTTCTGCAATTTGAGTATTAGATATTCCTTCCAAGGTATTTCTACCATCCCATCCCACATGCTTGCCGCAAAATTGTAGACATCATCTCAAAATTAATATCCTTCCCTAAAATCATGGGATTTAAAGAAAACTGTAGGTTTCTGGGGTGTATCCCATGAGATCCTGTGCTGAATCCATGGGTATGTGCGTGTGAAATAAGAACAGCATCGCCTTCTTCACAGATCTGCTAAGGGAGCTGATTTTGCTTTTATCCTATAGATGCCCCTTATGAACTTTTTAGATTCTCTTCTTAAATACATTAGATTCTGTTCTTGCCTTCTTCACCCGGTTAATTGTATAGTCCTCAGACCTGGCCTGTATAATACTACCTTTCAGAAGTAGAAAGGGAGGTGGGGGGGGGTGTGGTTTGGGG